AGGTCATATGAGGTCATGCACAGCCATGCACAGCAGGTCACCTGACCATCCAATCCTTCCAGCAGGTTCCAGCACATGCCAAGGTATACCAGCTACTTCCATGTCATAAAGGCTTAGTCATGTCTCTTGACCAAGCAATGAACTGGTGCCCTGACAGGATGTTAAACAATCCAGACCCTATGATTCGCACAACATCCAAATTACCAAAGCAAAAAAACATTGAAGTCACAATTTGAAGCACTCAGTAATGAAATATCAACAAGATCTATTAACACAAATTTTGCTTAAGGCAAAATTCGGATCTACAAGCACATGAAGACACAACTATGCTATGATTACAACTACAAGACAAAAATATCAGACAAAAAAAAAGAAAAAGAAGAAGGGGAAAACTGATTTACTCAGCCAGAGCCCTCCCCAGGAGAGTCTGGACTTGGTCCACCCAGCCCATTACCATATCCATCGCCTTCTGTGCTGTGTGCAGGCTCTTCTGCAGCTTGAGCATCTTGTGCTCTGCCATACAGAGTGGTGTGACTGGTGGCTTGACCTCTACAAGTTCAGTTAGTGTTGCCCAAATATAAACTACAGATGGAAAAGACTTACCAGCCTCCGGAAGGCAAGACTGCTTTGTTGATGGCCCCACCGAGTCCTTGTTGTCCTCCTGTTCATGTTTTTTGGGCTTTACCAGGGCATAGCTGTGCACTGGCTTCTGCTTCTTCTTCTTGGCAGGCTCTTTGGCAGTTTCTTCAGCAGGCTCAGGCTCAGGAGTCTCCGGGATGAAGAGATCCTCCACAGATGCTGGAGGCAGAGCCATGCCCTTGGTGAGATGCACTGGAATGGGAGTTAGAAAAGGTCAATAAAAGTGGGACAAAAAGCAGCATACCTGTATGAGTGCTGCAAGGCTTTTTTGCTGCCTTGCATGTTGAGCAAACCGCCCTATTGGCCACCTCCGCAATATCGCACTCATGGCGTGCCTTACCATCCTTGCCAATGGCATGCTTGCGGCACAACATACACTGCCAAAAATGTGTCAGAAAAGTTAACCAGAGCACAAAAAGCAGGGACAACTCACACAGTTTTCAGCTGCAAATGACTCCAACACTGCAGCATCTGTCATAGCCAGCAACACCTTTACCAGTGTCTCTTCTGGCATCCACCCCTGTGATATTTCAGTCAGCATCTTCAAAGTGCAAAGAGGAAAAAGGCCAACTTACCACATTGCAGGAATCCTCCTTCATCAGCCTCCCATGCACCCTGATTGCAGGTGGCATCTTATCCACACCATCATCAAGGCGCAGCATGACCAACTTTGCTGGCATTGTCTCCTTGGCCTTAGCCTTGCCCTTCTCAGCCTTCATCAAGGGACTGGCCAGGCTCCCCAGGGATGTCTGTATAATTCAAGTTAGTAATGGTAATTGGCTTGCAAAAAAGGAAACACTTACTGAAAAACCAGACAACATCACCTTAAACTTCTTCTCCTCCTCCTCCTCCTCCTCTTCCTCCTCCTCCTTGGGCGGCACAGACAAGGCAGCCAGCTCTTCTTGCTGGTCAAGGGCAAAAAGTTGGACCCACTTCTCAGGCAAATTGCGGACAAGGGTGAACTGGGGACTATTGAGGAGCAATGCAACCACATTGCCAAATGGCGCAACATCTGGATACTTCACCAATGGCAAGAATCTGGGATCCTCCGCATCTTCACACATGCAGGCAATGATAGCAGTGGCTGTCTTGAGCATGGTGTGCTCATCTTTTGGTGGCACTGGCTTGGTGGCAGACTTGTGAGTGCTGGGCTTGGCCATTTCAGAGCATGGGGATACAAATAAGTAAAGGCAGGGGAGGATTCAATTGAGATCTGCAGAGACAGGAAAGGCAAAATTTGGTCACATTTATAGGCATGCAACCACCTCAATGGAAAACAATGATGTGCATGGGCCCCACTAAGTGCCAATATCTGGAACACAGTTTCAGCTGAGGTGGCACAGATAAAACACCACACTGGGCTTTGTGAAGCAAGAAATCGGACAATCAGGGTCTCAGGCACTGCACAACTCAATATGAAAAACCCAGTCAGGGTCCCTCTTGCAGACTTAAGCAGCACTGCAAGTCACTGCTTAGGGTCTTCATGCACTGACCAGCCACCCTTAGTGCCAAATGTGCAGCAATGCCCTCTGATACACCCTTCCCCGAATACATTGATGCCACCATTTTACCAGTGCCCTGATACACAGCCCAATGTCTTACAGCAGAGAGTCTCATGATTGGTTCTTGATAATGCTGCCCTCACTTAACTCAATATTCAGCAGTACCACACTGCATTCCTGACTGCACAGTACGTCACCCATGGCCCCACTGACTTGGGGAGTCAGTATTCAAGGTTTGGGGGGGATGAACAACCCCACCTCTGGTAGGGTGTGTCAGGCCAATATTCCCATGGCTATTTTTGGGCCTTAGAGACCATTGTGCAGCACTATGGACCCTCACTATGCAAACAACACACCCCAGCAACAAGCCTCAGCCCACCACAGATATTTGGCATGGTGACTACTATGATTCCCCAGGTGATGGGACCACTTGGATATTTGGCATGACAACAGCAGGTTTCCTCTGCAATGGGATTGACCCACCCAGATATTTGGCATGCCAACGCTTGCCTTAGAGAGGTATCTAGAGACTGGATTAGTATAGAGTGCAGTTTTCAGTAGCTAGTATAAGTAGTTTCCAGAAACTTCTGTATCTAGCTTATTCTGCCCCTTTTCCGTTAGCAATTATACAGATCCAATTATCCCCTTACTGGATAGGCAGACTTGACTTATTCCAACACTTGACTAGATGGACACCAAGTTCCAATTTACTGACCAATTTCTGACAGCTCAGCTTCAGGCTGACTCCAGCATTTCTACTGATTTCCCCCATCTCTCCCCTCTTTCCCTAGCGAGTTCTCACACACCACCCATCGGACTGATATTTCAGACACCTCTTGGGTTGGATCAGCAGTCAAGTGACATTCACTTGGTGCAAATTGATCAAACAAGTGTCAGGCCCTGGTATCTTGACCCTGTTCACTGCAACATTTGGGGAATGCAAAGATGCAGTCAACTTATCAAGCACTAACAAGACAAAAGTAAGGTATTCGGAATCATTTGGGATGCAGCTGATGGTGGTCAGATGCAACCGATCTGGTGGCCAACAGCATTTGTCACTGACCTGACAGGGAACCAATCAGTTGACTGGTTGCTAGAATGGCTGCTGCTGCTAACCACGGCAACAAGTGAAATCCTGACCAGGATGATGCCCCATCCTGTCATGGATGAGTGGCAGGGTCTTGTTAGGGCAACACAGGCTGACTAAGTCTGCTCACCTAAGAGTGCCAAGAGTCTAAGCAGGCAACAAGGAAGTGGAGTAGACCTGATGACTAAGACCTATCTACAGTATAGGTACCGGTGGATGATCCTAAGAGACCAAGTCTGAAGAGACAGTCCCAGGCAGAGTAGGCCTTATATTTATACCTCTGTGGTGGAACCTGCTAGAACATCTTGCTTACTCAGCCTAGTCAGGTGATCAGGTCATATGACCAAGGATGAGGTCATATGAGGTCATGCACAGCCATGCACAGCAGGTCACCTGACCATCCAATCCTTCCAGCAGGTTCCAGCACATGCCAAGGTATACCAGCTACTTCCATGTCATAAAGGCTTAGTCATGTCTCTTGACCAAGCAATGAGCTGGTGCCCTGACAGGTCTACAGTCTCTAGCAAAGCATGGTCAGATGTGAGGACACAAGGTTCAGTTGCAATTCAATTTTGTTCAAGCGCTGCAAGTACCTATCTTTGAACACAAGGAAAGCATGATGACAGAATGGCTAGGAGGGCTGGTTCTCCAAGCATGTAAGGCATTGAAA